TGAAAACTGACATTTTCAGCCAAAGTGGCTACTTTCGATGCAGCTTTTATTTGAGCGAAAGCGAATTATTTCAACAAGATATAATGCTCTTAAAAAAAGTTACTCAATATTTTATCCAATATAACCTAAATCGGAGAAAGTTGCCGTATTCATGGGACACTTGAGTTGGATTTGCTCGGTGGTTAACGTTAAGCTCACCGAAAGCCCCTAGTGTCCCCGACAGTAGGTATCACGTAGAAATTATTAATTTTTTAGAACAGTATTTTACATTTTTTGGTTTCAAGAAAGTATTTTCAAGCGAAATCAAGCCCATATTAGTGATTAGCATCAGAAACTGAACATTCAGCTGTTGCAGCAATTTGTGCTGCAAAAAAACGTTTGTATTAAAAATAACTTTCGCTATAGACTAGTATCCGTTCCAAAATACAAGGCCGGTAGTTATTTTTTTATCGATAGTAACTGCAGATATATTATAGACAGATTTTTCCATTTAATCTCTACAATCCACGCAGAAAAATTCAATATTTAATTGGAATTATTTATGCGAAATTGATACGTGTATTTTCTTAGGCTTCAATGAACGTGGTACCGGAGCTGGGCAAGTCAAGACAAAAACGCTTCTATTCCAAGTCAGGTCAGATTCTTCGAAAAAACGAGCTTCGAATAAACACCAGTATATGCTTACAATAATGGTACAAAACGTCTGAAGTCCGATATTGATATTAACTGCAGAGAGCGACATTGAATACATACAAAAAGAGAGTGAATGAATACGACACACAATGAGAGAGAGATGAATTATGGTTGGAAGAGAGTGGAAGTGATTAGCTAGTGGAAGAATAGGTCATATTTCGTTACATACTCGGAGTCATTGTGCTCGGTTGTCCATCAGATTTAGATCAGTTGTAAATAAAAAAGAAGCACTTTATTTCTTTTTTCTACACTCAGTTTGTTATACTAATCTAACAATTCAGTATGGAAACTTGCCAGCTTGGCTATTTAACAGAATTTCTATAACCCAATACTCTCCGTTGATAGAGCCAGCCAACCAGTCATCAAGTAGCCCATCATACTAAATTCTTATTCACATGTGACGAGTGAATTATGAGAGATTAGCAAATGATAAAACTTAAAGTATTATTAATACTTCAAGTTGCTTGCCTCAAGTGCTTTATTATGTTTGTTAAACATAATAAAGCAAGTACACTCAGCTATGCAAAAAAGACACACGGCTTTCCCAAAGAAGATGTTCCTAAATCCTTAACCGTTATGAACTTTTTTAGATCGTGTGGTTTAACTTACACGGTACCACATTCATTGAAGCCTAAGAAAATACACGTATCAATTTCGCATAAATAATTCCAATTAAATATTGAATTTTTCTGCGTGGATTGTAGAGATTAAATGGAAAAATCTGTCTATAATATACCTGCAGTTACTATCGATATACAGTCCGCAAGGAGAGCTTTACAAAACTACATAAAATCGGCTAGCTAAGAATCATAATTACAAAAGGTCTGATTGAGGAAATTGAGAGGTAGCCGAAATATGATCGTCAAGTTTGTACGAAACCTCTTTTGCTAGGGTTTAATACGAAACCCGTTGTACGAAACCTTTTTTGTCAATAAAAAAATAGAGGTTTCGTGGCTGAACGCCGGAACCTAGGTTCGTACGAAACTTAAAAGGGTATAGAAATGGTTGCAATTCTCTATACCCTTTTAAGTTTCGTAATAAACCATTTTTTTCTAGAGAGTAGTCTATAGCGAAAGTTATTTTTAATACAAGTGCTTTTTTGCAGCACAAATTGCGGCAACAGCTGAGTGAATGACACATTATTTGATTCAGTTTCTGATACTAATCACGAATATGGGCTTGATTTCCCTTGAAAATACTTTCTTGAAACCAAAAAATGTAAAATACTGTTCTAAAAATTTAATGACTTCTATGTGATACCTACTGTCGGGGACACTAGGGGCTTTCATTGAGCTTAACGTTAACCACCGGAATTTTTTCATCTGTTGATAGATCAAGGTTGGAACTACTTATGCACCAATTATTTCAAAAGTTCGTATGCCATGGGAGAAAATCAATTTTGAAAACTGACATTTTCAGCCAAAGTGCCTACTTTCGATGCAGTTTTTATTTGAGCGAAAGCGAATTCACACGTTCGGGTGTTGTAGTACTCAAGGTCCTCTACCTAATGGTGTTTTAAAAATTTTATGAAGATGTTTCGTTTCGATACAGTATGCCGTCAGATGGACTAAATATAAGTTTAGGACGTACCAGATCAGAGCTGATTACCTGCATAATTTTTCATCCGCGGTACCGCACAGGGATGAAACAAAATTTACCCGCGCTGCAGTTGGCAGGTTAGCAAAAAAACCTTTTTTTTCTGCACAGACAGAGGTTGAGGGTCAAAACTGCCCTGTCCTGCAGGTCGTCTGCGGGTGGACCCTAAGACGAGGTATAACAATTCTTTTTCCTACTGACTACTATCGGTGTGTATTACACACTGATAATTATAGACTGTATCACCAGTATCACGGCTGCACTGCCTGCAGCTTGCAGGCAGTTTAAAATGCATTTCCTCCACACGAGCAATTAGTGCTGAAGCACTGTGTAATCTCACAACTTAAGCAGTTTCTTCATAATTGAAGAGCTTAAATGGATCGATTACAACTTAGCTGTTCACTGTATCATATTTCACTGTGTCGAGCTAATTGAAATAACCGTTGGGATCGCACTGGCTCTCTAAGTGAGGCTGTATTACAGGTGTGCAATAAAGATGTGAGAAACTTTCACGAGTTTCTTGCTAGAAAATATAATCACATATCCAATCTAAGTGATGCTTTCACACGTCCTTTTATTCGATCGGATCCTGTTATTCGTGATATAAACGGTCTTCAACGAATGGGCCGTAAACGTTTCAATAGAACAGTTTTTTAATCAGTAGAGGTAGCAATCTGTAGCATTTTAAGACGCCTATATTCACGGTGTTATTGATTACTTATTAATTACACGATTATCATAGTGACAGCACAAAACAAAAAAGCAGATAAATTTTGTATACCCATAGAATGAGAAAAAAAGAGAAGGAGAAAAATGTTTTCAAACCTTAACTACAAGGTTCGTTGATTATGTGTCATGTGCGTCATGAGCAGAAAGAAGCAAGAATGATGACTCAACCTAGTCTAAACTTTATTTATTTAACAACAACGCCCTTCCCCTCCCTCCCATCAAAGTAGAAACTTGGTTTATAAGAACCCACCAAAACTTTTTTGGTATAAACTCATTTCCGAAACATCTTGCCTAAGTATCGGGAACGGTTATCTTCTAAGGCCTAGATCCCTAAAGATAGTTTGGGGGATGAGAATTAGTGTGTAGTCCGATAGTTCGTTGCCACAGCAAGATTTCGCATTCTGGGTGTGATCTCAGTTCAGAATTGGTTTTACTGTGTTTCCGAACCTAGTATAAGGTTTAGCCCTATACAAAGGGTATTTGGGAGTAGCGGTGGTATAATGGTTCCCCAATCTGGGTGTGGAATCCCACAGCTAAAAGCCGAAGCTATCTGGTTCTTCGGTCAATGAGAGCGAAAGAGACCTCCGGGATACGCCAATCCAGACGAATTTTCATTTTCAGCGGAGAAACTCTTACGTTTGGTTTAAAGGTCAACGTTTAGCGCTATGGCCGTCTGAAGAATATTAAAGGGCTCAGGTCTAGATCCTAACCTCATTGATTTGAGCATTTCGCGTAAATTAGTAATTTCCTCCCTCCTTAATTTTTGGGGAACCCCCTAGAAATTATTCTCCTCCGCTTATTGCCTCCCCTTTCCTTTTTCCTTACTGTTTTATATTACATTTATTAATTTTAAGGAGCCAAACAGAAAGGAAAAAGGAAAGGAGAGTAAATGCGCGCTCGGTGGAGGAGTTTTTAGGGATCTTCCTAGATAAATTACCCTCACTATTTCCCCTCCTTCGAATCCTTCGGTGGATTAGTAATAAGAAAAAAAGAAAAAATGTATATATAATCATGTTAATATACCTGAGATTTATTAATATCTGCTTAAAAGTACCATATTATATTTTTGGACAAAGTCATGGAAGTCGAATAAGGAAAATCAAAAATGATTAGATCAAAAGAAAGGAAAATATGAAAAACCATTGTATATGTAAAGATGAAACTTTCAGAAAATATGAAAGTAATAGCCACTATTCATTTTTCAAAATTTCAGCTTGATCCATCTAACGCAAAAAAAGTCGATTTTTCAACCTCTCTCATAATGCTGTTATAAACTGATTAACTAAACGAAATATTTCATACTCTACAGATAACATTTTATTATTGTTGACGAAACTGGATTTCTGGAAAGAAAATTTCACATCGATTGTGAGCGCCTTTGTCAAAAATACTATGTGGATTACAGCGCTGTGTGCATGGTTTTTCATCTTGAAACAATCACTATCCTCTCAAAGAGAACGACGTTAATTTAAATTAATTAAATCAAAGACCGTATATGTTAGCCTCCACCTAACTTGTTTGAAACTTATTTTGTATGTACAAATGGTTTATTGAGCAATCAAAAGCACACACTTGTAGAAATATAAGCCTAAGTATATATATAGTCGAGAAAGACATGTAAGATACAATAGAAAAGATAGCATAATAGAAAACATGATGTAATATAAACCAGTATATAATGCAAAGACATGTAAGATACAATAGAAAAGATAACATAACAGAAAACATGATGTAATATAAGCCAGTATATAATCATATAATAATATAATGCAATAGCATTAAGACGTAGTCCGTTTTGGGTCTCATGATCTAACTGTATAATTTGTAGTTTTCAGCAAATGTTTTTATTATTAAAATTTTATGAATTGTATAAGACTGATTTAGCAAACCCCACTTGATTTGTACCCATATTATAAACAGAGTAAAATCGCTGTAAAAACGTGTCACCTAATAGCCAGAATTGTTGACGATTCGTATCAGTTTCTGTTGATGAAATTATTGCAGATACGCACACTGTTTTTCCATTTGTGAGCAGTAAAGAATAAATGTAGTGCTTGGGCAGCAATGTAAAAGGTACGCCACTAATTGTAAATGTCAACGAGGGTAGCGAAGATATTGAGTTGCAATCAACGGTATACTGAATTAAGAACAAAATAAAATAACTGTGATTGCTCACTGAGAAATTCACGATGAGAATACTTACATCGCCTTCGTTATCGAATTGAACTGCATTAATAGCCGCGTAAAATGCTGTAACTTGTTTACTGGGGCCGTAGATATAAGTTGTACCTGTATCAGCCACAGCCGGAGTGCCCTTACTGTCATGGATAACAGTGTGACCAATCATAACACTGTAAAAAATGAAAATATATTTTAAAGTTGATCCGATGGAAGTCAAATTGCGTACCTTGTTAACAGAAATTCCCAATATCCTTTAGATGACACCTTTACATACGTTATTGAACCAGTGTATCGCGTTGTATCGATACCTCCAAGTATCAATTCACTGCTCAACGAACTTTTAGGGTTTCTTTAAAAATAATGATAAATCGGATAGTCTCTCATAACTTTAATTAAACATCGACATACGTGTTGAGAAAAACGGAGAAGACTGGCTGTGAGATTTTCTTTTGTTTCCACAAATTGTAGACGAATGGCAATTCGTTTGTGTTACTAGTTAATTTCGGATATGCAAGACCGAGTATACCACTGTAGGCACCATCTACATCTGCCATTGAAGTTACTTCAGCAAACATTTGAAAACACTTTAAACTGCCGATCTATAATTTGGAGAAAAGTTTTCTATTATTGAGCAGATGGAGTAACTGTGGCATTCTTACGCTAACATAATCCCAGTCCATCCAACCTTCAACCGCTCCGCTTGCGTAGATCAGACGAAAGTAAGCACCAGATTTTTTATAGGAAGTTGACTTTGATGCCACATACTTTGCGTTGCTGCCTTGCTCAATTCAAGAAGGGTTGACATTTTCCGTGCAATAGAAATGTATTTTGTCCTTACCACATCCTAATCTACAGTAACTTGATCCTAGCCACAAATCACTTGAACCCGTGTCGAAGTTGACATTGAAACACTGAGAAGGAGTTCCAACACATATTTTACCCATGTAATAATACTAAATACGAACCAACACAGTTATGAAGATTTGAACTCGTTGTAGAGACTTACATCTTTATTGAGTAGAGGATCAATAGTAGATCTCTTTTTCGCTACATGTGGGCTGTTTGTGAAAGTATCCACATGTTGAGTTCCGTTCGTTCGTAAATGTGGATGATACCGACGGTGATTAAGAGCTACACGTTGCATGGTCATTCTAAATGAAAAAATGTGAATTTATTTATTTATCAACTAAGAGACGTAAATCTCTTACCGTGTAAATCTTGTAGCAACATTTGATCCCTTCGTAGAGATGGTAGGATACAAAGCGCTGTGTTCAATTAAACATAATACCAGTATCAAATTGTGACTGTTCTGGAAGGACGAAGCAAAAATATTATAGCTATTTGACGTTCATAAGGTTAAATTATATTATAGACTGATATAGTCACTCTAGCATAAACTCTTCGCGTGGTTATTTGGCTCGGAGATTCCCACGGATCGAAAACTTTGGGACCGACCAGACGGAAATATTTTTCTGCCCGCGATCGACATGTTTCGACCGTTCCTAAAAGTTTTCCAGCTCTAGCGCGGCCAATCTATAGAATTTCTGTCTCCATCTGACCCTTTTTAATTGGATACAGACAATTACATCAGTAATATTTTGGCTGGCGAACAGGATGTAAATGTGTTTCTACAACAAACATTTATATTCCCATGACTTCTCCCGATTTTTTCAACGTTTGTATTACGTACGATGCTAGGTATCAGTAAAGCGCTGTTAAATGAATGCTTATCTGTGATGCCATCCAAAAAATATTCTCGATCACAAGAAATAGCTTCTCTCAATATTATATCGCGCTTTTACGTGGAATAGTTTCAGAAATGTTAGTTAAAATGCGCAATAATATAAATTAGCTGTTATAATCAGCAAACATGACTCAATCGAAAATTCATAGAATTTAGTAGAACACAATAAAAGCTTTTCTCGGTCCTTGCAGATCTCTGCTTTGTACGAGAAAATACGTAACTTTTATCTCGGTTTTAGCAGATAATTCTTTAACTTTTGCATCGCTAGCATCGAAATATAATTTATCAGAGAGACGGACATTGCACGAAAACTATTTTTGAGCAAAAACGTTTTCACATGCAAGCTTGGAATTTTCAAAACAATTAACCTTCTTTCTGTTCTCATAAACTGGTTGTGTCAGCCCATGGTTGGTTTGTCGGCTCTTCATACTGAAGAAGAAGTACAGGAGGAGAATGTCAGTGATCGCGCCATTCTAGGGTTCAGGAAAGCTAGCAGCAGGAGCGAAATGTTGGCAGTCATACTACGTCGCCGGGTTGTATAGTTTCTTTGATGAAAAAGGCTGCTCAAACCAGATTACAAGCTACGGTTTTGCCATTCACAGTTATTGAGATAAAGCGTTTCCTCCCTATGTCGGTTAAGCCTCTTCCTTCGGAAGGCAAGTAGATTTTAAGACATGTACTGTAAATTGTTAAATGACTGGAGAAGTTAGAGAGTCTAAGGTTTCACCATTCGAAGTAGGAAAGTGATCGCATCTTATTTAACCGAGAAAAATCTTTTTCAAACGCGCGATGCTCAGAATATGTCTAAAAAGCCTTTACGAATCTCCAAAAATTCGATTAAGAGCATACACGCTTTAGATACTCTAACGTGTCGTCTTTAAATGGTGATTCAGGCCAGACCGTTACTGTCAACGGTTTAGACATGTCGTCGGAAATCTTCAAAGGGTTGTACTTTTACATGATAACTATTGAAAAACATTTCACGCGTGGATAAAAGCAATATTTTCTACATCTAGCGTCATTTATCCATGAAAACAACAACATATCTTAGCGTACTCTGAATATCGTAGTCAGCAATGTCGTGTGGTACATATTTTGGCCGATGTTCTAAATGAATGACCTCAGTGCAAACATCATGTTTTCTGTTGTTTACGAGGGTGCGCTACACTAACACAGTGACGATATATTTTGTATGATGATCACTAGCTACCTATATATACAAGGCACAGGTATGACTTTTTTATCTGTCCTTGGTGAGTTTGATGTTTAGGCGGACAAGAAAAAGAATGTTCGATGTAACCTGTAATGATGATGAAGCTGAGTATTCGCTGGTGCATTAGTTCTTCTTCTCATACAGTATTAGTCATAATACTATTACTTTGAGATGAAAATAATCTGTGTTGTTAATAAAGTAAAGAAAATACTTTCATAGTTGTTGTTTTTCTGTAGTGAAGCTGCCTTGAGTTTAAAAAAACATATTGGGCGTTTTGTAATTTACCAGCATCTTGTCGTAAAACTGATAAAATAAATGGGCAACAATCGTCACGAAGCACTTTTTATAGCGCGTGAAAAGTTGATGCTGGCATATCATTTTTATGTCCTGCACAAAATAAGCCGGGAGATATGAATTTCTCGGAAGCTTTTAATCATTTAGCCAAATAGCATAATGATAACCAACTAATCTACAAAAACTCCAAAATCTTCAAAAATTTACATTCTAGTAGAATTTGGCCGTTTTCCCAGATTCAGCTAGAAATTGGCAAAAATTTAAATTGTACACGAATTTGGCCATTTTGCTAATTTTACGTAAAAAAACCACATCTGTTGTGAATGATCTGACACTATAAATACGCATAACGATGCAGCTGTTGCAGTACAACGAGCTGCCATGTTGTCTAAGCACGGTGCACTAACTGCGTAATAAAAAGTGTATCTTTCCCATTACTCCAGATATTTAAAATAAGAAAATGTTCTTTTATTGCTGATTGTAATCGAATGTTCAAAATCAAAAATTTCAGAAATAAACAAGCTTTTGTTTTCATTTTTCGCCACAATATAACAATTATAAATTCCTAGTTGATAAGACGCAGATTGGCGCGTAACATATTAACAAATGAATAATACGTTGATTATTGTTGTAAGACGAACAAAATTTTTGTAATCAAATTCAGACTGAAGAACAACGTCCTATCTGAAACCGTATGATGGACAAGAAAATAGCATAATTAAAGACTGACGACGGAAGTTCCCCAGGTGTTTAAAGCCTTTAGGTCCCATCTTTTCGGCGACAGGTAGACCTCAACGAGGTATGAAAAACCTCTAGAGGATTTATCCCCTCGTGCCTTTATTCCCGAGATATCCAATTCTTGGGATACATACGAAACGGGACCGAAGTGGAAAATGATCGTTCTTAGAGAGCAGTACAGTACTCAGGTGGCAAATTTTCAAAACTTCCCGCATTGCTCGTACTGCCTATTCTGGATTTAGTGCTAGGTCATATCTCATCAGTACCACCTCTAAGGGCTGTTCATCGGGTCACAGAACATCCAGAACTCTTAATTTCACATCTGATTTCATTATACACTGCAAAAGATTAATGGAAGCAAATAATACAATAGCGATTATCTTTTCATCTTCCTTGCTGGCGTACCAACATGTCTGACTTATAACTATGCGTGTTCCTTT